TTGATCTTTGTTTCTTAGCTTTATATAATGGTTGGGAATAAGATAATAGTCTAGAAATATGTATTAATGCTTCTTTTATCATTTTACAAAATATCATTGCATATTTTCACATATTTCATAATATTTCCACAATGTCTCTAATTTTTACAATATTTCCCCTCGACATTTACGACATTTCTGACATATGTCCTATATTTTGGTAAGCGACATTTCCATATTTTAAACCTTGAACCTAGCTTTCCCCTTCCAATGATGTAGAGTCTAATTCTCTTTAACCACTCTAGATGATTAAGACCATCTAGAGGAATAACAGCCATGGGAAAGCTCATGTTCACACTCCCATTCAGTCCACCTTGACTAAAGGACACACCCAAGGTAACTGTATCTTCAGATGACATGATGTATCAACTAGAATTCATTGTACAGACAAACACATCCACAAAAAACACTAATTCTGGTAGTACAGCCGTACAGGCCAGCACTACTGGGAGCCAGAAACACTGTGCTACAGAGTTTTCGAAGCCCTACGATCGCAGAGATTTACTTAAAAAAGGCCACATACCTGGGTACAAGAGGATCACACCAGATCTACAGAACCAAAAAGCTCTATTACTGTTGTTACAGCAACAACCAATCATACCAGATCTACAGAACCCACATACCTGTGTACAAGAGGATCACATAATCCATACAGGTGTTGGAAAACACCCAAAAAAGAAATCACAGCATTCAGCCACCACAAAGAATCAACTTTTATTTTGGCACACAACCAAGAAAAACAGGGAGAAGAAGAGACAAAATGCTCTCAGACCAATCTGATATAAATCCAGCTGAAATCGATCTGGAAATCCTCAAGAAAGTGATAAAAAATAGATAAACAGGCCCACAAAGACTATTCTGATACCATGTTTTCTTGATTAAACTAGGAGAAAATAAGAAGAAAAGAAGAACGAATGAGGAAGAAGAAAAAAGAGAAGAGAGAGAAGAGAGGAAGAGATAAACAGTGATTAGAGAGCCAAAAAGCTTACTGGCAGTGCCAGCTTTCTTATGTATATATTAGGGCAACAGAATATAACATAAAAGTAAATAAAAAGACCATAGCGCCCACTGGTGGCACATGCCACATAACTATTGACAGATTTAACACTAGAAAAGTACAGGTGATGCCATCCAACTACAGTGAGGGAGTTATTAACAGGATCAAAATTGAAGAGCTTAAAGAGAAGAAGCAAGCTCATCTGCGGGTGGTAATGTGGAATGCATGTAAGGAGAGAAGCCTTAGAAATTTCAATAACAAGTGCTGAACCCCTATACTTTCCCATTCATCCACAATAAGGTAAACAGGGAGGTTGAAAAGCCTGGAGTTGATTCGTAGAATTTTTCCTCTTAGGGAGATGTGGTTTTTCTTCAAAGCTATAAGGAATTTTTTAACAACTGGATCCTAAAAAAAATAACTCTAAGGTCACCACCATTGGGAGTCCCAAATATTTTAATGAAAAGCTGCTACCTCACATCCTAAGACACTAGCACAACCCTCTACCACCTCTAGTTCCATGTAGATCCCTACTAAGCCACATTCTGAGAAACTTGCTCTTAACCCAAACACCTCCATGCTCTCAAGTATGGTATTTAAGCTTTTCATATCCCACTAAATCCTGAATTCACAAGGATAATGGTATTATCTGTGAAATGCAAATGAGAAACCACCTTGCTATCCCTACCCATCCCAGACCCTCTAATGACAAGATAGGATTAGCTGAACGTGATAGCTGTTAAGCAGGCTGTGAAACCAATGATAACACTCCAGACCAGTCATAAAATACATAGGGCCCACAACCACTCAACCTCTCTCTATGGGCCCCATATGTTTTATCACTGATGTGGGGCGTTATCATTGGTTCCACAGCCATCAGGTTAAGGTAATCCCAATTCTCTAATGACATCTCTCTCATGAGCTCACTCAGAAAGTGGATCAAGGTTTCCACAATCAGGATACACAGCCGCACTGGGAGTTACCTTGACTTAATCTTCTTGGTGCATTAAAAAACACCTTGGAGATCCATTTATTATTAGGGTTGAGAAGTGGGTAGACGAGACACATTCCATCCAACTCACACACCTTCTACCATAACTATCTTCCCCATCAAAGTATTTAAAAATCTGGTTCACAAGATCATAAGTTTTTTTCTGTTTTTAGATCTAGTTTCTAAATGAAGCCCTTCTTCTCAGGTACCTATGTCATGAAAAGCTTCATAGGCTACCAAGATTTGATCTAGTAAGCTAGTCTCCAAGAAACACTGGCTAACTGAACTGAACATATATATATATATATATATATATCTGTGTGTGTGTGTGGACTCCCAATGACCTCCACCAAATCAAAGTACAAAAGCCACCCCTAAACCTCCTTCTCGAACACTTCCTCCTGCCGTTCATCAGCCTCATTCCAAATCTCTCCTCCTTCCCCCACTATGACTTTCCTCTTCCTTCTTTCTCCTCTCAAACTCCTCAAAGGTTCTTCTAGCAAACGCCTCACCACCTTGGAAAAACAGACCAAGACTCTTGCCAACCTCCACATCTCTATCAATGGTATTCTCTAGGGCCAAACTTCCTTCCCTCCCTCTCCAACTTATCTTCTGAAAGTACATTGTTCATTTTTAAAAGAGATTCATTCCCATCCTCCCTTTTCTTCTCCTCTTGAGACAAGGTCACCAGCTGGGTCTCTGACCTGATGGGGACTTGGGACACCACCCCACCAGACACCTTGAATGTTGAGACTCTTGACTTCACTCCTTTTCTATTAAACAGCCTTACTTCTTTGTAGGATCTGCCCCAACCAAACCAAGCCTCAACTGTGATAAGACTTTAGTCATGTGAACAATGTGGGAATTACATGATCCACAAGGTTTCTTAGGAGCCACCTCATCAACAGCAGAATTTTCTTTCTCTTCGATCTTCCTCCTAAGCCCAAGTCAACACCTAACATTCCAATCACCACTTCCTTAAACAAACAAAGATCACCAATTAAGACCTCGTCTTGGGAACAGCCCCTAACAACTGCATCTTCGAATTCACCCCCTTCTTCACCAACTCCAATTTCTTTGTCCTTTTTAGCATTACCTTCTACTCTTACAGCTGCCTCCGCTCCAGCCCCCAGCCCAAACTCCACCCCTTCTGCTTCTTCCCCTGATTATACTTACAGAATAACCTGCACATCAAGTTATCAAATCTCCAATTCAAGGAAAAAGAAAATGGCCCAAACATAAGAGGTAAAACAAGTAATTTCTTCATTAGATAATAATCCAACCACTAGTCAGCTTTACTATGGAATAATATGATGAAGAATCGGTTAATTAACAAAATAACCAGTGGTGCTCTATCATTGAAAAGAAGGGTCTCCTTCAAACCTTGAGTAAAATTTTTAGACCAGTCTCAGGGCACAAGTTAAAACAATCAAAAGTCTAAAGTTGCTCATAGATACCCATTAATCCTTACTTTGGGAAGAATAAAATGTATATGGACCTCAACTTGAAATAGAAGAGAGAACTGTCTCAAGGCCATTACTATCTGATTAGGGGATTGGAATATGGTCATTTGGGCTTCTTTTCTGGATCAGACAAAATTTGGTTTTCAGGGTTTGTATTTTGGTTGCAGAATTTGGCTGTGTTGTACTTCTTGTGTGATTAGTTTTGAATGTTTGTATCTTCTTACTGTTGTATGTTGGTAGGGAAGGTATATCTGTTGAGCATCAATGGATGAGATCTCAGTGTTTGAGTGGTGCCGAGTTTTTGAGGTTGGTAGGGCTTCATGGTGGTGCTTGGGCCACAAAGCCCATATACAGATTGCATACTCTTTTTTCTTTTTTTTTCTTTGTTTTATTAAATTTTCTTTTTATTATATCAAAATAAAATGATCAGAATCCAGAACCAATAAATCAACATTAAAGAAACTGATAATAACCCCAAACAAGGGACTTAGAAGATTACCAACCAGCTCATAATGAAGCAAAGCAACGAGCTTAACTGAATCAAAATGCATATATACCACGAGCCAATGGCCCAATGCAAGCACCTGGTTGACTGCCCAACTGAACCACATAAAAGAATCGCTAAGGCATAAGCACATACATGTTTACACTTTACAATGAAAACCACTGTCCATATTAAAACTCAGTTACCACCCCATAAGCTAGCCTTTTCTGATCCACCAGCATTCTAAAAGTATAAAGTATGCCCTTCACCCAGTTACCACATTGGCTATTTCCATGTCCTCTACCACAAATCTAATAAAATGTTGAGCAATTTTTTCAGACTTGTCACTTCAACACTCTCCGTCTAATAAACTCATGCTCTAATGAGAAGAACGCTAACAGTTTTAAGGAATTCTAGAAAAATGAGGAATTATAAACATTTCTTAGTTACCATATTGGCTGTTGCAAGTCTTCCATCCCAAAAGATTAAAAAACAATCTTTAACGTAGAATATATATAGAGACACACACCAAGGAAATAAACCAAGCACCTGGTGCTTCTTCTCCTTCTTTCTCTCATTCCGCTTAGCCGCCTTTGTCTTCGGCTTAGCATCCAAAACCGGGTCATAACCCGGCGGGACCTCCGGCGTGGCCATGCTTTTCCTAAACTGCATCAAAAGAAAACACCATCGGCTGCAAAATCCCCGACGATAATAAGCGAAGACAAAGACCGACTCAAAACAGAGAACGTCAAAGAAACCAAAAGGGTTGAAATTTTCCGCTCCTACCAGAGCACCTTTGGATTGGTAGATTGCAACTTCATCTTGAGGGATGTAGCCTGCCCTAATCCGAATGGCTTTCCTCAAAGTACCGTCTGGTCTCCTCGTTGGCGCCAAAATTCTCTCCCCTTCTTTTAAGGGTTTTCCCAGAAGAGCCAGTTGCTGTTTCGGTAGTTCGTCTTCTGTTCCTCCAGTGGAAGCCATTAAAGAATGTCTTTGAAATCACAAAAACGAAGGCTCCCTCAACGAGCTCGAAATGAAAGAAACGTCGGAACCAAGGAGAAGAAATGGAACTTGGGTTTCTTTGATTAATTGATTTTCCTCTCTCTCTCTCTCTCTCTCTCTCTCTTCCTGTGTTTTTGATGATTTTTGCTGCTCTTGTCGTGCTAGTATGTTTGAGGGGAGTGACAGAGGGTGAAAGAAGGAGAGCTGACTTGGAGAGCCACTTACAGTAAGAGCCTCCATGGCTTTGCTTTTCAGCTTTTGCGCCCTCGTTTGTTTGTTGAACTTCTGTGAAGTGTGACGGTAAGAGACTCTTACAGTTGACTACCTGCCACGTGGAGAGCTGACTTGGCAATTTGAATAAACGATAATCTCTGCCACTTATCAAAGCTGCCATGTCTATAAAAATGTCCGTCAGGGAGGACTTTCAGCTTTACAAATCGGGGCTTTCTCGGCTTTATAAAGGGGGCCCATCCAAAAGGCGTATATGTCACGGGGGTAGTTCTGGAGTGGAAGAAACCTGTGCAGCAGGTCAGGACAAGCCTTTGTGTGATGCGAGGTTAAGAGTTGTCCAATGAGATGGCTCTACCAAGGTTAATAGCACTAGATCATGACCTCAAGTCGCATGGTCGAGGCACTCAGCTGGTTCTGGCCGGTCCATGGGAGGCATCGCTTACGTGCTAAATGGGGAAGGCCATGATGTGAGGCGACTGGGCACCTATGTGATGGGTCTCCTGTATGCCGATGATGTAGGCACCTGTGTGCCAAGGATGATAGGCAACCGCTTGGGTTGGAACACACCCATGCACTATGGGCAACATGATAGCTCATTCAACTTAGCCAAGGGGCTGGCATGGTGAAGGGTCATGCTTGAGCTAGGCCCACATGTCAAGCCTCCCTTCAGTATCAACGGCGCAGTGTTGATCCATGCACTGTCCCCATGAGCATGTGTGCGCCCATGAGGAACCCTGGTAGCCATGCTAGCCATTAACCAGGGCCGCCCCGCAATAGATGAAGGTCTAGGAGTGCCAAGGTTAGGCACCCAAGGAGGTTGACCACCCCTCCTCAAAGAGTACGTTAAGCTTTTGGTGATTTGCCTGAAGATAACATCACTATTCCCAAAAATCTTACAAGCGAAAATGGTGATGGTGTCCCTTAACATAAGCCCGCCATGCGTAGGCAAGGCTAAGCTTGTGTCAGACCGTGGCAGGCTCCCCCACTCAAATCCATTGTCGTCCTCGACAATGGCTCCTTCTGTGAATAGGCGTCTATGTCCCACGCCATCCACTTGTCTGCTAGTTCTTGGGCTCGTCTGGCCAACCCGGGTCTTGCCTATGTTGGTGTCCATTTATGGGAACGGAACCATTTCACCATGTCGGCCTGCCTAGACTTCACCCCCTGTGTTGAGATTACTCAAACCGCACGATGGCTATGCCGTTGAAAGTGTGTGAGAAGAGCCCTCAAAGAAATTGTGTGTGATGCTTCACGGAGGTCCGCCCCATGTATCATCTTTACCTCAAGGCTCGACCGTCTTCTTGGTAGCTTTTCGGTGGTGCTACCGAACATGTTGTGATAGGTTTGCTCTTGTTTGTTGGCGTGTGTCCTGGGTGTACCCTTTCACCATGCTGGTCTGCAGACTTCACCTCGTCGTGTGCGGGTTATTCAAACCTAGTCATGGCTTATGGTTTGTTGGCCCTCGAAACTACACTTCACCTCGCCGGTTTGGGCTACATCTTCGCTCCAAGAGGGCCCCAATGTGCTGCTGCCTCAAGGAGATCTGACCGCAATGTGCGTGAGTGTGGCAACTTTTACCCATGATGTTGTCAAACATGCACTCGCCTTGTGATGTGTTGTTGTTGCTGTGAATATTCCGCCTATGTGTTGAGCTGAGCATGTCCTCCGATGCATTGCCGGTGTAGGGCCACCATGCTCCAACGGCCAGTGTACCTACATTCCTATCATTCCAATATTGTGGCTTCAACCAATGACCCATCTGATGCAAAACTATCACTTCAGTGATATTCCTTGACCAACCGTCGACACCAACCAATTTCGGGCTGTTGTCCCTGCCTTAGTAGTGCCTCAGACAAAGCTACAGAACAATGGCTCATCCGTCATGAAACCAAGATGTAGGCGCACCGCCCACAACTCACTAAAATGAACAGCAACTGATGTATGTGAGAAAGCATGGCACTCCCCCACTAAAACCACCACAATATGCCTTCCACGAAAACGCTCATGTGTCTGCCCCCGCATGAGCACAGCAACCAATGTGTCTGCCCCCATAAGGGTGTAGTTTTTGGGGTCACTGGAATGGGGCCACGAATGAATGGCCTCTTGCCAGGCCTGATGTGTATGCTTGCTTGCTTGTACCCAAGTGGAAGTGCCTATGGACCGCACCCCACGATGTGCAGCTTGTTGAGATGACCGCTTCAATTGGCTCTGTGCTAATCTGCTTTGATACCAACTGCAGCAGCAGTTGGCTAGCTCGCCTTGATACCAACTATCACGGGGGTAGTTCTGCAGTGGAAGAAACCCGTGTGGCATTCAGGCCTAGGCAGGCCAAGACAAGCCTTTGTGTGATGCGAGGCTAGGAGTTGCCCGATGAGATGGCTCCACCAAGGTCAGTAGCACTGGATCATGACCTCAAGTTGCATGGCCGGGGCACTCGGCTGGCTCTGGCCGGTCCATGGGAGGCACCGCTTACGTGCTAAATGGGGAAGGCCATGATGTGAGGCGACTGGGCGCTGATGTGATGGGTCTTCTGTATGCTGATGATGTAGGCACCTGTGTGCCAAGGATGATAGGCAACCGCTTGGGCCAGACCACACTCATGCGCTATGGCCAACGAGATAGCTCATTCAGCTTGGGCAAGGGGCTGGCATGGTGAAGGGTCATGCTTGAACCAGGCCTGCATGCCAAGCCTCCCTTGAGTGTCGGTGGCACAATGCCGGTCCATGCACTATCCCCATGAGCATGTATGTGCCCATGAGGAACCTTGGTAGCCATGCTAGCCATTAACCAGGGCTGCCCCGCAAGGGATGAAGGTCTAGGAGTGCCAAGGTTAGGCACCCAAGGAGGTCGACCACCCCTACTCAAAAAGTACGTTAAGCTTTTAGTGGTCTAGCTGAAGATAACATCACTTTTCCCAAAAATCTTACAAGCGAAAATGATGATGGTGTCCCTTAACGTATGCCCACCAAGCGTAGGCAAGGCTAAGCCTGTGTTAGACCGTGACATATAGGCAATTTCTAGAAAGCAAAAGGTTAAGCCCTCCCAAACGGGCCCATATCTATACCAAGCGCTGACAAGCCAAGCCTCGTTAGCTCAGTGAGGGATGGCAATCTGACCAGCCCCCGCCGGGGCCCTGGCGCCTTGCCTTGCCCCACCCCGGTCGGGGCGGGTTTTTTCACCATTGACCGGGTTCAAGATATGTTATTGTTTATGAAATTTAAATTTTTATAGGTATTCTTAAAATTTCATTAATGTAGTTATTTCTAAATTTAATGGATTTTAAAATAATGTAATTAACATTTAAGATTGAAAAAAAAAGCAAATGGTATCTATTTCTCTTAATTCAAATTAAGACTCAATTGGTTTGGGCAAATTAAAGCTCAATCCGAACAATATTTTTAGGTAAATTACTTGTCTAAGAATTTTAATCTTTATCGATTGATTTAAATCAATGTTATTAAGATTTTGGATTGCAAATGGCATCTATTTGTCCGAACACTCAATTGGTCTAGACAAGTTCAAGACCAACTCAAGCATTAGATTTAGGTGATTTACTTGTCTATGAATTTTATTTTTTCTATAGATAACTTTAAATTTTATTGTTATAAACAAGATTATAAATGATATTTATTTGGACTATTTGTTTAATTTCAAACTCAATTTGAAGTGTAAGCCTTTAAGTGGTTTGGATCAAATTAGGGATGGTGAATTAGTGATTTTGTGGGAATTTTTGGGTACCTGATCCATCCCAAGTTCCCAACTCTAATGGTACCTATTTATACCCAATTTTAGATTAAAACAGTGTAGGGTTTTGGGATGGGTTTGGGTTTCGTCCTTTCTCTTTAAGTTACCTCAATACCCAATAGGCCAATACCTAAACATGTGTAAGTGTGTACATATTATTAAGCATAGGAAATCTTTGGTGTTGTGGTGTGCCGAAAAGATATGATACTAAAAGAGTTTTGACCAGTCAACTCCCCCCTAGATTTATCGAAAAAGAGCCCATGAATTTTAATAAAAGAACATATGATTTATTTCCACTTTTATGAAATTACTTGATTGATTATAAGTTCTTCTAATATCATAGTCAAACCCTAATAAATATATCTACATGTTTTACAAGAATTAAGAAATAAAACTGGTTTAACAAAGTTTGGGACAAAACGGATGATAGAACATCACTTTTTGCGCCACTATAAGAAATAAATATATCTTGTATGTCTTTTAAACTTAAGAGGGAATCACATTCCACTTGTGTGTAGTGGTGTCAATTGGATGGATTTGGTCCAACACAATCTAGTCCAATGTGAGGCCATTGAGGCCACTTATAAATGGATTGGACCCAACCCAGTCCAAGGATAAAAAAACCGTTACGTATCGCCCGATACGTATCATATCAAGCCCTTCCCGATACGCCTCTATAGGGGTTGTATCGGGTTAGGGCCTAATTCAAAGGGTAGCCAGGACTTAAATCGACCCCTCTGAACCAAAATAAAAAAAAGTAGAACTTAAAAAAAAGGGTCAATACTGGCCAATACATCCTACCGGCATATCGACCAGTATCGATACTTTGAACCTTGATCCAATACAAACCAAATCCAATCCAAACCATTAAAATGTAAATGGGTTGGGTTGGATCCAATCCAAACCGAATGAAATATAAAAAATTATATAAAAGCACTTTTAGCATTGAAAAAATACTTTTGTAAAAGTACTTTGATAAAAATACTTTCAAAAAAGTGCTTTTGCAAAAGCACTTTATTGAAAGTACTTAAAAAAAGTGCTTTTGTAAAAGAACTTTTTGAAAAGTAGTTCCATAGACTTTTATAAAAGTACTTTCTTAGAAGTGTTTTTATAAAAGTGCTTTCATAAAAGTACCTTTATAAAAGTATTTTCATAAAAGTGATTTTCTAAAAGTGCTTTCATAAAAGTGCTTTTATAAAAGTACTTCTATAAAAGTACTTTCATAAAAGTACTTCCAAAAAAGTTTTTTTG